CCGTTTACCGGCGGTATCGGCAGCCGAGCGGGAAGTTGGGGGAGTCGGTTTACCGGACACGCTATCGGTAAATACCGATGGTAAATCGGTAATACCGATACCGAAATCCCCCCTCCCTACTCCACTAACATATAACATATACATCATTATTCACAAATATAAAATATTACATACATGAATGTAAGTAAGTATAAGCCTCAAAAATATTGTAAATAAGAGTTAATAATAAATTATTAATTACAAAAATGATGAAAAAACTCAATAAAATCAAAATATTACAACATCACCCCACTTCCAGAAATTCGGTTCGGTAAATATTCGGTAAACCGACCGAAAAACCGTCCGAAATCGCTTCTCACGGTATTTCGGTAATACCGGTTTGTAACCATTTACCGGTAATTCGGTAATCGGTAAACCGGTTACAAACCGGTATCGGTAATTGGTAACCAATTTGACCAACTTCGGTATACCGAAACCGGTAAATTCAGTAAACAATTTACCGTTTACCGACCGAATCCCACCCCTAGGATAAAGTACATGCTTTTATTGAAACGATCGATTTAGTTTGAGACAACCTCATGTCTAAAGGACAAGAGGTTTATGTTCATTGTTTAGGAGCTAGATAATCCATAAATGCTTATGTTAATGTTTTATTAACATTCCAAAAGTAAAATGCTTTCCGGTTCTAGCTCTCTCTTCCGTTTCACAAATCGGTAACTTAAAATAATCTTGCCAATAGATCATATTAAACGCTATTATATATAAAATAGAGAACACCTTAACTCTTAAAATCGTGACTGTTATCGCTAAATCAAACCCTGACTAACAATAGTTTTTTCCAATAATAGCACCCTAAAAAAAAAAATTACAAAACTAGCACACATATGAAAAAATTGACAGAAATAGCACCTATTTCTATGGAACGCACCTCCATGATGCGTTTTATAAGTAAACCGCACTTGAAGGATGCGTTTTACTAATAAACCGCATCCTGGAGGTGCGGTCTCCATGACGAAACGCACGCCAGCGGAGCGATCCGCGCCAGCTGCGGAACGGTCTTTAAAACCGTTGGATGGAAAGGCGATCTGAGGGTGGACCGCCTGCCAGCGGTGCGATCCGTGCCAAGGATCCCAGACCGCGCGCCTGAGACGCGGTCAAACCTAGGGAAACGTAAACCGCAGCGGGAGGCAGCGGTTTCTCTTAGTGCAAAATTCCCAGACCGCCCCTGGGAGGTGCGGTCTGATGGGTATAAATACCCCCCCCCTCCCCCTCTCATTTCTTCACACCACAACCCATTCTTCCTTCTCTCTCTACAATTTATCTCTCTAAACCCTCCCCTCCCAAAAGCCTAGGAAATAGTGGTCTGTTGGTTGCGGCTAAGTCCGATCTGCCATCAGAAAACATTTCTTAGGTTTTTTCCTCAAAATCCTCCGAGTCGAGCCGAAGCTCTGTCCGAATTACGCCGAATAAATGGCCGATTGGTGGCAAGGAGAAGGAGTTTATGTTGATGAATTTCAAGCGGTATGTACTCATTATTCTGGTTTAATTTTTGTTGTTGTTATTAGTTTTTTAATTAATCTATGTACTAACCTCGTTGTTATTTTCTCGTAGGTTGGGGAGGACGTCGATATATACAACCAACGGTATTATCTCGAGCAAGGACCGGTGGATCCAACCGACTTGTACGACCAACCCAACCATCGGTCAAGGGATGTTTGGAACGATCACCCGGTACATACAATTCTTCACCATTTGTCCTTCTTTTATTTTGTTAATGTGCCTAGTGTAATATAAAATAAATTTATGTTTATTTTTTAATCGTGTTGGTTGTTTTCAATAATTTAATCGAATACATAGCGCCACTTACTTCGACTCTTTATAAAGAGATGCACGTCTAAGGAAATGGGGTTTTAAGCGATTATCATATCCTCCCATTACCTGGGAAAATCGGGTATTAAGAGATCCTCGGATCCCCCCTTTTTCTGTCAAAAAGACTGCGTTTCTAAGAAGATGTATACCTCTTCTAAGAGTCTAACGAGTGTTGCTTTGTATTCGATTAAATTATTTAAAAAAACTAATACGATTAAATTATTTACCAAACATTTGAATATGTATGTTTCTACTTAAATTATTATTCATTAACAATGTTATTTATGTTAATTAATTTAGTATGTTTGTTTTACGATAATATGTATGTACCTCTTTAAATTATTATTCATTAACAATGTTATTTATGTTAATTAATTTAGTATGTTTGTTTTACGATAATATGTATGTACCTCTTTAAATTATTATTCATTGACAATGTTATTTATGTTAATTAATTTAGTATGTTTGTTTTACATGCCAGTATTAGTCTGGGAAGGAATGCATATGATTCTTCCCAATCACCATAGACGGCGGCCATAGCTTTCTGCTTTCCATGCCACGCCTTCTTATAGTTAATCATATAACCAAAACGACTTGCAATGTCAGCGATTATGACTTTCACCTTCAGATCCGGTTCAGCCTCAATCAGATGCTTGATAGCCGCAGCAACCACCCTGGATTTCAACTGTCGATGGCCTTGGGAAGTTATGGATGACACACATGTGTGTGTGTTGACCGCACGGGATATGACCCAGTGGCCGTGTCTCTTGCTGTTGATGGCCCGAATCCTAACATTGCACCCCTCGTGATGATTACGGCATCTGACTATGAGCCTTTTGGTGTTGGAATGAGTTGTGTCCCATTCAAAATGCCGAGTCATTGCTTCAGTCTCAAGGGCGTGCCGCACATCCTTCTTCGAGCCAAATTATTGGCCCTTCGTAAACCCAGTGAGTGGGCCCCATATTGGGACCTCTGGCGGCTCCATGTCGCTGTCGACCATCCAATTGTCGTCTGGAATGTGATTGTAGTAGGGGACTGGTACACGGTCAGGAGCCACATCATGCGCATTATCTGAATCTGAATCTGGTGCTGAATCATCAGCACCTTCGAGAGGGTCTGAGCTGTCTGCACTGACGTTGTTCTCTCCTTCTTCATCAGAGGGGTCGCTGACTGGTGCTTGTGTGGCAGCCTCCATCTGATCCTGCTCATGAAAGGCACCTTCATCAGCTCCATAATGGTAGTTGTGAAAACTACCGCTGCCTGTCAAGAAGTTGTACTGGGCTTGGTTGGGGATGTCCGGTTGAACTTCTTCTTCATATGACGAGAAAGATTGATGATGGCCTGCACCTTGCCCTCCATCTTGGTACTGAAAATAGGAATGAGGATCATGGTAACTTTGGTAGGGATGATCGTCATATAATTCACCTCCACTATGGATACCAGATGTTTGACCGTGTCCAGAATGACCTCCAACACCAACGGCTGGCTCGGTGTAAACGAACATCTCGACTTTGGCCAATTTGTTGGACCTCAAGAATTCGAGCATGGAATCTACGTCATCTTGAGTGGTTATGGTATATTCCTCATGCCACAATGACCCAGTTGCTCTGTTTGGGTATCGGTACACCATACGATCTACCCTCCTCGTGCCATCCATGCAAGTAACGTCAGTGCATATTTGATGGAGGTCTTCAAGCTTCGGTCTGGTACCGACCGTTATTTTCTGAAAATTGCCACCGACGTAGGTGGCCCCCTTTCCGGTCTCTTCCGTGTAACCATTCCACCGTAAGCCAAGCGTTAACTGACGGAATGCCATCTGCGCACAAACAAACCGTAGTTTAGTTAATATCATAAAAATCACAAATCACAAATAACAATAAAAAGTAACACAAAATAAAGTTACGAGTTAATGTTAATGGCATAAAAAGTAACACAAATTAAAGTTACGAGTTAATGTTAATGGCATAAAGGTAACACAAAATAAACTTACGAGTTAATCTTAATGGCATAAAAAGTAACACAAAATAAACTTACGAGTTAATCTTAATGGCAAACACACTAAATAAATATAGATATACGACAGAAAAATGAAAGAGAGAATGAGAGGTGTGAAGAGTAGAGGTTTTCCGGCAAGTCTTATATAGGGGAAAAAATTGTGAAAACCGCACCTCTAGGGTGCGGTTTTAGTCTGCCATGCAGCCCTACGTCCATAATTCTCTGCATGGCTGTGTCGGGTGTCGGAAAATTATTGACACGTAAACCGCACTTGGGGGGTGCGGTCTACATGGCCAAACCGCACCTTAGAGATGCGGTTTGTTCTTGGAGGAATAAACCGCATCACTAAGGTGCGGTTTAGGTAGGTCATGCCTAAATCGCACCTCGGCCATGCGTTTCATGTAGGCCAGACATGAAAACGCATGGCCAAGGTGCGGTTTAGGCCCACCAGAATAGAACGCACCCTCCAGGTGCTGTTTATATGTAAAACGCATCACGAGGGTGCGGTCAATAAAAAAGGGTGCTAGTTTTGTAAATATTTTGGGAGGGTGCTAGTTTTGTAAATTTTTTTTAAAATGTGCTATTTCTGGAAAAAACTCGACTAACAACACCAACTTAGAATATTACTAAAATTATAAACAACTACAAAAATCGAAGCATATCCTAGCTCCAAATTTGTAAATCACACCCACGAGCTTTACTTCATGATAATGTAGGAAACTAAGAGTAAGAGGTAAAAAATCTACTTACTCTATTTCAAATAATAGGATGAACAGTTATAGAAAAAGAATTTGCTAATTTTATAAATTGCTACACTAATCTCGTCTGTAGCGGAAAGGTAAGAAATTAGTAGTTAAAAAATATTAAGCTAAGAAATTAAATTAAATAAAAGAACAAAAAGGACGCCAGGGTCCGAGTCAACAAGTTGGAAAAAGAAGAAGAAGAAACTCCCTCCCTCCAAATTCCCTTCTCCTTCCCTTTTATAAGAAGTTAAAGAACCTAGCCGTCTCCGCGCATTTGCTGTCACCGACTTGCTTCACCGAAACCTTCTCCCTCTTTCTCTCTCTCCCTCTCTCTGTATTTCCTCACCGGAGTTAAGTTTTCTGTTACTGGTCTCTGCGGACGAGTTTACTACGATGCCACAGGTGGATCTGGAGAGCCTAGTCGTATCAGTCTGCTCCGGCGGCGGCGCTTGCGGGGACCGCAAAATCGCCTGCGAAACGCTCGCCGACGGCGCCAATCAAAACCAGCACAAGCTGGATTCATCCGAATCGGATCCTTCGTCGGAACAGCTCCCCGCTGATTTCCCTCCCGAATCGTTCTGGCTGTCCAAAGACGCGGAGCTCGATTGGCTCGACCGCAACGCTTTCATCGCTCGGCAGGGCTCCACCAAAGGCACATCCAATTCCACCAACCTGAACCCTAACATTCACCCTCCGTCGACGCCGGGGAATTCCTCATCCTCCTCCCACTCCCAGCGGTTCTCGAATCTCAAGTCGATGATCGGCCTGCCGAAGCCGCAGAACTCCTGCTTCGTCGACGCCAAGAGCCGCCGCCACCACAACACCAAGCCCGGGAACGCGCATCTGTTCCCCAAGAGGTCGGGCTCCACCGGCAAATCGACGTCCTCTGTAGCTGAACCTGGATCCCCGAAGGTGTCCTGTATGGGAAGGGTGCGATCGAAGCGAGATCGGAGCCGCAGGCTCCGCAGCCGGCAGCGATCTAAGCGATCCGCGGAGCCGGAGCTGAAGAAGGCGAAATCGGAGAGGCGGCGGGCGGAATCGGGATTCCTGGCGAGCTTTCGTGCGATTTTCAAGCCCTGTTCGAAGTCGAAGAAGCAATCCAAGACCGAGGCCGCCGCCGCGTCGGCGCTGCACAGAGAGTCGTCCTCCTCTTCAAGAAAAAGCGACGCAGCGGCGAGAGCGAGCGATATCAGGAACCGGCTGCCGTCGACCGAGAGAGAGGCCGCTCGGAGAACAAACGGAGGTGGTCTTGAAGCCGAACCGGCGGCGGCGGCGGCGGCGAGCTTGGGTGGGATGATGAAATTTTCGTCTGGTAGGAGATCTGCAGAATGGGCCAGCAGAATCGACGTGGCTTGATCGCAATCGTCGAATGGAAGGGATCCGTTTCGTGTGACGAGCGATGCAACGGTGGGCCCCGCGGCGCGTGGAAGAAAGGGTGGAAAAAAATGAAGGGAGGTAGGGTCGAGGTGTACGGTCGTGATTGGTGGTGGGAGTGGGTGGGGTCCAGCTGGCGTTTATAATGGGTCGTTGGAAATGACGTGGCAGCACGCAATAATTGACGGAGCCTCCCAAGCGCGGTAACTGCGGTGGTTACTCTTTCCTCCTATCTCCCGTCTATATTTTTGCTGGTGCTTATCTTTTTTTTTTTAAAACTTTCTGCTGTTACTTTTTTTTACCGCCGTTGTTTCTTTTTTTTTTTACCGCGTTTGATTTTCGCTTCCCTTTGTGACTTTGTGAATTGTTTGGAAGACTCTTTCTTCCATTTGGTTAGCGGGGAAAAGCAATTAGCGGGTGTAAATAGATTGAGTGTAAAGGTTTTTCTTTATTCCCCTAGTTGAGCTAATAAAAAAATTGGAGATATCGTATTCAGTTTTCTTTTGTCCCTATTGCCTTTGTTTGTATTCGCTTCACTTTCAGATTAGCTGTCTAATTAATTTCTTTTACGTTTCTTCTTATGGGAAAGTGAGTGACGTTATGAAGAAAAGTGTAAAAAAACAATAGAGTAAGAATTGACTACCAAGTACCATCAAATTGAATTTGAAATTTATCTTATACTAATGAGATTTCAGTTTGTGACTTACTGGTTCAAAATCAGTAGTCGTACCACTAGAAATCGCTCTCGTTTGCGAAATTAAAGAAGACTAGTATTCGACGAAGAGCGTTTTGTCAAGAGTTTAGATGGAAAGCAGTAACCTAACCTAACCTAAACCCAATCAAATCTGCTCCCACTGATTAGAGTGCGGATGAAGATGGGTAGTTGGTTTGTTTTCTGTGCAATTGAATTAGGTAAAGAAGGGATGGGATTTTTGGGGACTGGTTTGGATCAATTTGTATCTGATTTTCTTGGTGGGTGAGTGTGATCTGTTGACCATTATTATATATATAGTGTTTGTATTATTATAATGGGAATTTTGTATAATGATTCCATTAAATGGGAACTGGCCTACCGCTGTCACAAACCACATTATTTGGGGGGTTGTGAAATGAGAAAATGCAAGGAATCCGGCTCAGAAATCTCGCTTTCTTCCATTTGTTTAAATCCGGAACTGGTCATCTATTCCAAAGATGGATTCTTTGTGTGGAATTCAAGACAAGCAAACTGCGGAAGATGACAACTTGTAGATATGATTAGTTTAGTGGATGAGAGTTGTTCTTGTGTGTGCCTTGTGTTTTGAGACAAGATGAGATGAGTTCATAATAACTTTCTTTTTTGTGTTTTACGTGCTCTTCGGTGAATTTAGGATAATAACACCCGTAATACAATACATCATTTAAGATTGATTGTCGTTAGTAAACTATTAGCAAGCTTTTCATAGTAGTAGCAGTCGTGAATATTTATATTTGCATGGTTTTGCAAACTATTGTGAATGTTGTGATTGTTCTACGGATCAGGCAATTGGAGGATTGACAGAGCAGGAAAACGTAATCAATAAATAAAAATACACGGATTTACGTGGTTCACTAAAAAAAATGTGTGTTAGCTAGTCCATGGGCAAGAAAGATGTAGTTTCACTATATATTGAGAAGATACAAATTACAAAAGAGTATGAGAATTATTTATAGTACTCCACCATTTGGTCTAACCCTATAATCTAATCTAGTTAAGAACAATGTTCAAGAAGACGCTAGGCGCTATCTAGGCGAGAAGGCACCGCCCAGCGCCCAGGCCGATTAGTCGTTGCCTAGACGAGATTAAACGTTGAAAAAAATATGATAGATAAGCCATATTCCACCAAAACCCAAGGCGCCATATCCATTCATATACACATACAACCCTTTTCCACAATCCCAAACATCCCAAGTAGCCAACCATGAGGAGGGATCTCACTGTTAGTCGATGAGGGGGAGCGGCTAGTCAAATGGAAATGGGAAATAGAATAGAGTGTTTGGAATTCAAAAAAAAAAACTACACTTTCCCGCTTTATTAGTTGTTCTGGGCGTCGCCCACTAGAGTGAAAACGCGCCTCCGAGTACCTAGGTGTCTAGATCAATCGCCCAGGGCTAGACGGGGCGATTTCCCCTGCCCAACTATTAATCACGCCTAGGCGAGAGATTAATCGCGTCTTCTTGAACACTGGTTAAGAATAAGGTTAGAAACAAGGCCATAACATAATCTCAACCGTGTATAAGCACATATACTGCGGATCGTGGCCCTGAACCTTACTTGCTACTCGGACAGCAAGAACCCCGTTTCTTCCAACCATCGCCAAATAATCCGATTCAATATAATTCATATATAAACAGTGAAAATTCTAACAGTTGCCATACAATTCCAACAACACATTCCCTTAAATGTGCATACCTTTGACCGGGGATGGTGCAATCTTAATAATAATATTGTAACGGGTTGCTGATGTTTGAGGGCACTGATAAAAGATTCGAAGTTGAAATTGGGTAAACGAAAACGGATCCTGAAATTTGACGGTACCCGTTCAAACGGCAAGTCAGAACAGAACTGTTATGATGTGGGTTTATTTGGAATTGCCTCAAATTGACATTTTCAATTCACTTTTCTTCTTTTCTGTATGACGCCCCCCTTCTCGTCGGCAATATATATACAAACTAGCATGGGTCCGGGCATTTGGCCAGAAAAGTGAGGTATGAAATTTGATAATGTAATGAGGTGCATAGCTAATTGTTGTATAGTTTTTTTTTTTTTTGAAACATGTGATAAAAATAGTGAATTTTAGTAGGAAATAGACATGAATGATGCAACGAATCAAAAATCAGCATTATGAACCAAAATCAAGTACATGTTACCTTGTGAAACAATATTGTTTCTGGTAATATGATGAGGTGGAGTAAATTTTATAGAAACCGAATTCCAGAAAATCGAATAAAAAATCGCATATCCCGCCGGTTTTCGGGAAATGAGCATCTCACAATCGTTGCTAGCTTTTACTCGGCCCGTTGGCCGATTAATTTGCTTTATAAAACTTTCATCTTGCCATCATTGTGCTTTCTGGTTTTTTGCCAAGCCATGATAAAATCTAAAGAAATCAAGAATGAACAACACGATTTGGGATAGGAACCACCGTTCCTATATCCCTAGAAAATGGTGGTAAACACGGGCTCACCTGCCAAACTGGTTTGGATTGAGATTTTTATCGGGTGTCAGGGAACCATGTGATTATAAATTAGACTTGATCAAAACGGGCCAAAACTTGAAATTCAGCATGTTTGACCGACCCATGCCAAACTCTAATTATTCTTTACTTTTAAACTTTCTATTTGAAAATAAAAAATAATGAAAGAAAAGAGATGATTGCAATTCGCCATTTGCACATCACTGATTCGGGAATAAAACTATAGAATTTCGAAAGGAAACTGAAAATGTTTAGGATCATTTTAATGTTAAAAATAAGGGTTAAAGACACATTTGGTCACTGAGATTACAAAATCGGGACATGTTTAGTCACTAGAAAAAATTAATATCAAATTTGGTCACTACAATTACTAAAACTGGACACATTTAGTCACTCGCCGTTAGTCTCCGTCCAACTCCGTTAATGAAGTCCGTTAAGTGATGATGTGGCAAACAGAATTGCCTAATCAGCCGGATATAACCCAACAAAAATAAAACCCGACCCGCCACGTCATTATAACCCGCCACATCATTTAAACCAACCCAACCCATGACCCAACCCCACCCAACCCTTCTTCCTCCTTCCTCTCACCTCCTTCTTTCCCCAAATTCAAATTCAATCCAGACATCAAAACGAATTCAATCCACACATAAGGAAATCGAATCGACAGAGAATAAAGTAAAAAAAAACCTTGTTGCCGTCGTCGAAGGGGACGGGCCTGGAGTGTTACACCCCGATCTTTCTAAGGGTCAAAATGACTATTTTACCCTTGGCTAAATTCATCAAGTTTCATCGTAATATCGAGGAGGATTAAAAATGCGAACTAACGGTTCGAACGGTGGCGAGTTTCGATATAAAACGAGAATGTTACAGGTGTTTAAGTTGTGACTAGTTGTATGGTTGATTGGGCCGGGTTGGGAGTATGACTGGTGGTTAGGGGTCTTTGATTTTGGGCCGAGTTGAGTGGTAGAAGGAGGGGGAGGCTCTTGTTTGTGGGCGGCCAAGGTGGAAGGAAAGAAGGAAAGAAGAAGGGCCGAGTGGGCCCTGGTCTTGGGCTGGGAGAGGAAAGAAGAGGAGAGTTGAGAAGAGAGGGTTGGCGAGGAGTGGGCTCGGCCCGAACCGAAAGAAGGAGAGGAAGAGGCTGGCCTGCCGGCCCAGATGAAAGAAGAAAGAAGCAGGGCTTTGGCCCGAGAAAGAGAGCAGAGAGAGAGATAGCGGGCCTGGGGCCGCTAGCAGGAGGATTTGTTCTCCTCTGGGAAGTTCGACAGAATCGGAAGGAAGAGAGAGCAGCAGAGGAAGACGAATGAAAGCAGGGGGGGTTTCACCGGAAATTTGGATGTAACGGAATCATGTAATTAGGAGTTTTAATTAGGATTAATGGTTGGTTTAATTAGAGATGGGGTGGTGAGGGCGTTTCCTCAAGAAGAGAGGAAGAGCCTCTCTGTTTTCGGGAAACAAAGCAGAGGACGAGCCAAAGAACAGGGAGAGGTCGGTGGTGATTTCGCCAATCGGAAATTCCAATGGAAGGGTCGATGCGAGCAGGGAGAGGGAGGTGGATTCGAACAAGAGTGGTGGCTCGGGGACGCAAGAAGGGCCCTGGGAACGCGACGGCGGCAAGAAATTCCGGCGTCGATACAGGCGTCGGCGGCGTGGGAGAAGATGCAGGGGCGATGGAGAAGATGCGCGGTTACCCTCCCAAGCGCCGGGGAGTTTCAGCAATCCGCCATTTCCCTCCGAACTGCGGCCGGCGAAGGGAAGTCGGAGGTGGGT